CCGCGTCGTCGCAGGGAACAGGCACGCTCTTTCAAAGCACTTTAAGGCGAATCTCGAGAGTCCATTACCCGGACGACAGCGCGTTTTAATCCGTATGCATGTATGCATTTTCGAAAGTTAAAGTAAAGAGATATCGACGATCTGCTTCTTTCTCTTTTCCTTCTCCTTTTTTTCTCTCCTCGCTTTTTATTACATTTGTAAGCGACCCGCGAAGCTATGCGTCCCCGTGGTGTGTACACACGCGACATTATGTAAGTATACTCGTAAACATGTAATAAACGGGAGGGAATGCGGCGTTTTAGTCAGAATTTTATGGGACGGGAACACGCGTGGGTGAAGGGGAGGCAGGCGGGAGCAGGGGCACGATTTTTATGGTATCGAAAGTGTACCTCTGCTTTGTGGCGTGGCCACCGATGTCCACGATAAACATTCGTGCGTATACGCCCGGCCGGTAATCCGTTATCGTTGAATTTCGTTTTATGGTCACCGGCCGACTTCGGGTTTCGTCGACGGGAGCGAAACTTTCTACGGTGTCGTCCTTTACGATGCGATTATGAGATTAGATGCGAGTAACGTTCGTTAATTCGCCGTTTAGAAATATTATTGGCCTTTCGAAATAATAAAGACGTATAAATAACAGCCGTGTTAGCGCGCCGCCATGGGGGCCCGAGTATCAGGACGCAGTCAACTTTCAAAAAGTATATTAACATTTTTATCAACGCGGCTTCTATCGAAGTGCTTTCGATCTGTGATTTTAATATCGTCGGCGACGGGGCGGGGCGTCCTAATTGCGACCGCGGGACCTCTCGGAGACGCTAATGCAAATTCGTCAGAGAGCCACTTCATCTTCGTCGCGGGGATCCGATGTGATTAACGATAACATTCGATTTGACGGTGTAAGAGAGAAAAAAGGAGGAGGAGCGCAAGAAGAAACGTATCGCGTCGCGCGTACGCGATACGCCAGGAATTTTTATACGTCCCACCCCGCGCCGCGGTACCCGGTTTCGCCATTAAGTGAGTTTTGCTCTTATTTATCATCTTCAATTTCACATTCCGGGATATGCAAATGCGACGTGGGTCGCTGCGCGAAACAAACGTTACACGAAAGAACGTCGCAGGCGTTGACTTTTTGTCTCCCTCCTGACCGTTTTAACGAATCCGCTACACCTACTCCGCGGTCCGAGACTCCGCGGAGATAAATTGCTTTCTCTCGGACGAGTTGCTCTCTAAAATAATAAGATACCTCGAAAGAAACGAATTGTCCTACATTGTACGCTGGATTCACACGTCAAACTGAATTCTACTGAGAAAAACACAGTTGGATCTCCGTGCGCCGAGAACTTCAACAAAACGACTATCTGCAATATCTCAAACGACCTAAAATCGAAATAGTACCATCCCCAGTATCACCGAAAGATCACCGCACAACCCGCAAGCTCTTCGCAAAAAAGAAACTAATATTCTCCTCGAATAAGCATGACCGCGAAATCCTCGGGAGGTTGCAGCTCCGTAGCATATACGGAGTGTTCGACCAGCATCCACGATGCCCGATTACAAACAGAATCGATCACGAAAGCCTAGCAGGGGGACGGCAAAAACGCGTACCGGGTCCAGACGCGACAACGGCGGACAACGCGTTAATTACCTCCTATCTCGGCCGCAAATTTCGCCTCGTGCCTATCGCGACAAAGCAGAAAACCAACATCGCGAACAAGAGAGCTGGCCGCCGGCGGTGGCGGAGGCGGCGGGACGCCAGAGGGAGGGATGGACAGAGTAAGAAAGAAGAGAAGAGACGTAGAGCGAAGCGTACAGGGAATAAAGAAACACAGAGAGGAGGATAATAGACATAGATTATAGCGGCCGGCGGAGGCAGCAGTAGGGAGAGCGGGACCAGCAGGGGGGGTCGCGCGGGGAATGAAAGAAGTGGGGTAGAGCGGTCGTTTGCCTTGGATCGCCTTCGAACCGGAGAGTCCGAGCGAGCCCAATCCTGAGAGGCCGAGCGCGAACCCAAGCTCGATCCCGATTCCGATCCCGCCTGATTTCCGCCGCGTGCATTCCATCTTCTAGGTTCGGCCGGGCTCG